GCGGTGGCTGCGACAGTGCTAGTGGTGGTAAAGGTAAAGGTAGGACGGTTTCAAACCCTATTTTTTTTTAAAGTACTTATGTGAAATTATTCGTAGAAATGTTTTTAAAAAGTCACTTTAAACACACTTTTATGACTCTATTTTTTTTTATTAAATTTAAAATGTTAATATTAACTTTTAAATTAACTTTTAAATAAAATTTAAAGTGACCTAAGATGTGAAAAATAAAAATTATTTTATTTATTTTTAAAATTTGAATCATAAGTTATTTTATTATATCAGTAGGTGGACGTTGAAAAACTTGTGTCAAGATATGTGTCATGCGTGACCAATAAAAGCTATGCCTTGTTTGGGACCACTCCCTCCCTCCCCCCCACCCCCCCGCCCCCGCCCCGCCCCCAAAACAACTATCCTAGTTGTCGACACTTGTACTCTTGAGAAAAGCAGTCCTAAATTTTGACTAGTATTTTTTAAAGTGGTGCTGACTCAACACATTGAAATCTCAATGGATAAACCTTAATCGTGTCAATTTTTCGAAAAATCAACAGACAAACATTGTGATAACACGTGGAAACTTTTGTGGTGGTCCCCGGCATAAATTACTAGTTTTGTCCCCAAAATTTTAACACTAATGTTACGCTTATCAAAATTACAAATCAAATAAAAAATCCAAATAACATGATAACTAAATTTGGAAGGCTGAATAGACTGATTATTGTTTAATCAATCTTTTAAGTCAACTGTCATGTCTTTTTATTTGTGATCATTTCTTTTAAAAAATAAATAATAAATAATAAAAGATGCCACCCTATTATAACAATTTAAATTCAATTACTCTCTAATATTTTTTCTCAATAATATATTATTGACCATCATTTATCATTAAAAATTCATTTGTCTATTGTGGATTTTTATTAAATACATAATGGGTAATTTATCTTAAACTTTTTTTATGAAATCAATATTAAAAAAATTCCAATCTTAGCCCCTTTAGATCCTTGTTAGTCTCATTTCAATTAATATTATTTGAATATAATTTGTTAACTTATACCAATGATTAGATAGATAGCGAGTTTTAAAGAATACTAAGATTAGTTATCAATTCAATTGTTATAAGTAATTAAATTAATAAATTAGATGAGTAGAAGACTTAAACATAGTTGTTCATATAAATTATAATGTAATATGTAAACAAAATTAAGAAAAAAATATATATATATATTTTTTATTGAAGATTAGTGAGAATTGAAATACCAACAAATCTTTGATCGAATAATTTTTTTTACCTTTTTTAAATTTTGCCTTCTCTATCCCTCTCCCCCCCTCTCTCTCTCTCTCTCTCTCTCTCACCCTAAAAAAAAAAGTGAGAGCTGACACAAATAATGGAAGCGATGAAACGTCGCCGCTTGAAAGGTTAGTTATCCATCGTCAGCGACTTTGGGCACACAGGTGCTATAAATAGGCTGGCGAGGGACGCGGTGTGATATATAACAATAACTCTCTCTATCTCTGCTCTCCTACTACGTGTGCTTCTCTCCCACAACTCTGCCATTTTTCTCTGTCCTTCCTACATTCTCTCTCCCTCTCTCTCTCTCTCTCTCTCTCTCTCTCTCTCTCGTGAACCTTCATTTTCCTTATCTTTATCTCTATATCTTCTTCTGATAAAGCAGTCTTTCTTTATCCATTATCCACAAAAAAAAAATCCAGTGATCATGTGTGGAATACTAGCGGTTTTGGGTTGCTCTGATGATTCTCAGGCCAAAAGGTTTCGCGTTCTCGAGCTCTCTCGCAGGCAATTCTCTTTCATTCCTTCTATTCTTTCTCTGTTACATTTTCCCTTTGTCATTTTTTTTTTATTATTTCTTTTTCTTGGGAGTAGGGGCTGGGGTGGCGTGGTGGGGGGATTAAGGGTATTGGGTATCTTGGTCTACCGTGAACGTGATATAAATCAAACATCAAACCTTGATCATGAAGAAACATGATTTCGTGTAGCCGACCCAAATAATTGGGACAAAGGCTTTATTGAGTCGAATTTATCAAATCTTCATCTCATAACTGAGGGAACTAAGTTGATATATTCTTTGAAGCACCGATGATGAAACTACAGAATGTTAATAGAGGGATCGTTGGAAGGATGAATTCTATCACTTTCTGTGTAAAGTGGGTGTAATCACTGGGACCCATTCCACACAAAAAAAAAAACTATCCTGGAGATTCTTTTGGGTAGGCAGGAAAAAGATATTGGTTAAAATTTGCCATCAGATCATGTATCAACTTCATGGGACAATTAATTTGTAGCACATGGGGTATGGGCTTTGACCCTGTTCATTCTATTATAAAATGGAGATAAGAGAATTTTGGAAGAATAAGTTATGGTTTTGGGCCATAATAATATAATAGTCTTTTTTGAATGATAAATTCTATTACATTCGCTGTGCTCCAACAACTATAATTTTACAATTCTGATAGATTAGAAAGAAAAACAAGCCAGTTTAAGAACTGCCATCGGTTCAGATATCATTTTACAAGTAATTTGTAACACACGGAGCTCATCTAGTCTTGTTCTTTGTATTATGTTCATTTAACAAATGAGATGTTGATGGAGGATATTAGGCCAAATCAGCATATGGATCTCACCTAGTATTGTTCTGGTTTATTTGGAATTGGATTGTGATTGTTACATGATAAATCAGATTGAAGCATCGGGGTCCCGACTGGAGTGGGTTATACCAGCATGGTGATTGTTATTTGGCGCATCAACGCCTAGCAATCATTGACCCTGCTTCTGGTGATCAGCCACTCTTTGATGAAGACAAGAAGATTGTTGTAACGGTGTGCAATCGATCTATTTTTAGCTATTATGCATGTTTTTTTTTTGTTATTATTGAGCTAAATTGCCACAAATTTTATTATCTAATGGAGAAGATTGTGTTGAAATTTAGGTAAATGGAGAGATATACAATCATGAGGAACTGCGGAAGGGTCTGCCTAATCACAAGTTCCGAACTGGTAGCGATTGTGATGTTATCGCTCATCTTGTGAGTAATCTCATAAGCCTATTATATAATGGATCGAAAGCTTTCTAATGAATCTTGGACTGAGATTGAATTTGTAGCTCTTGCTTTAGACTAACTGCCACCTCTAATTTCTTCTGATTAGTATGAAGAATATGGGGAGAATTTTGTGGGCATGTTGGATGGAATGTTTTCTTTTGTGTTGCTGGATACACGCGACAACAGCTTCATTGTTGCCCGTGATGCCATTGGGATCACTTCCCTCTATATTGGCTGGGGACTTGATGGTATTACCTCATTGAATCTTGTCCTAAGTTGGTTTTGTGACCACTGCTATACAGGAATGCAATTGAATATAGTTGAATAATTTGTCTTCCCTTGTTTGTCTTCAGGCTCTGTTTGGATTTCATCTGAACTGAAAGGATTGAATGATGACTGTGAGCATTTTGAGACCTTTCCACCTGGGCACTTGTACTCTAGCAAAGCAGGAGGCCTCCGAAGATGGTATAACCCTCCTTGGTTCTCCGAGGCTATTCCATCAACTCCATATGATCCACTTGTTCTGAGAAGTGCTTTTGAAAATGTAAGATTCATATGTTTTAATCCCTGATGTATGGGAACTATTCTGATGATCCATGATTATTCACAAATAATCAAGTAGGATACTCTTTGATATGATTGTAACTGTGGTAAAAATATATTCAGGCTGTGATTAAAAGGCTAATGACTGATGTACCTTTCGGAGTTCTGCTATCTGGAGGCCTCGATTCATCGCTAGTGGCTTCTGTCACTGCTCGCTACTTGGCAGGGACAAAGGCGGCCAAGCAATGGGGAGCACAACTTCATTCCTTCTGTGTTGGACTTGAGGTTAATACATATTCTTCTGATTAAAAACCTACAGAATCCCTTGAGCTTCTCTTTTAGTCCTTGTAACAAATTTTCAATTCATTCTTCATTTCTTGAGTAGGGCTCACCAGATCTGAAGGCTGGAAAAGAAGTTGCTGAATATTTGGGGACTGTTCACCATGAATTTCACTTCACTGTTCAGGTTTTCACAACTTCAATGATCTGCTTGTTCAAGTGGCTGTATCTTCATTTCTTAATCACTGTTTTTTTTTTTCCATTTTGTGAAATTGTTGGTAACAATTTTTTTTTTTTTTGTCATGCATTAGGATGGCATTGATGCAATTGAAGATGTTATTTACCATATTGAAACTTATGACGTGACGACAATCAGAGCAAGCACGCCTATGTTCCTCATGTCGCGTAAGATTAAATCCCTGGGAGTGAAGATGGTCATCTCTGGCGAAGGCTCAGATGAGATTTTTGGTGGTTACTTATACTTCCACAAGGCACCCAACAAGGAAGAGTTCCACCGTGAAACATGTCGCAAGGTAACAAACTCCATCATCCTATTGCTTTCAGGTTGAGAGCTTCGAAATGGAATGAGTAACATTTGGTGGATTTGTTCTCTCTTATTTGCAGATAAAGGCCCTGCACCAATACGATTGCTTGAGAGCAAACAAGTCTACATCTGCTTGGGGTTTAGAAGCTCGGGTCCCATTTCTCGATAAAGAGTTTATCAATGCTGCTATGAGTATTGACCCTGAGTGGAAGATGGTAAGGTTATAAGTTTTGGTTTTTATAAGGGTGTCTCGATTTTTAACAGATCATTTACGCTTTTTTTTTTTTTTTGAAACTTGATATCCAGATTAAACCAGAGCAAGGACACATTGAGAAGTGGATTCTTAGAAGGGCTTTTGATGATGAGGACCATCCCTATCTGCCAAAGGTCTAAATTTAGACGTTACCACTTTTTCGTTCAGTATATTAGATCACATCTTCAACTTCGACTAAGATGTTCTGTTTGATACTTGCAGCATATTCTGTACAGGCAGAAAGAGCAATTCAGTGATGGTGTTGGTTATAATTGGATTGATGGGCTCAAAGGACATGCGGAACAACATGTACTCGCCTTTTCTGTTCTTTTCTTTGGTTCAAATTTATAATTTCATGACACCAGTACTTGTAATTTAAATTACACATCCATTCATAACAGTCTAAAAAGATGTCACATATTGGATGATGGTTTCAGGTGACTGATAAAATGATGCTTAATGCTGCACATATCTTCCCACACAACACCCCAACCACAAAGGAGGCTTACTACTACAGAATGATCTTCGAGAGGTTCTTCCCACAGGTGCGATGGTGGAATCAATTACAAATCAGTGTATGGTGTTAGTAACGTCAAGATTGACCATAACTATAACTAACTCGATTCTGAAAATTGTTGTTGTTTGGTTTCTGCAGAATTCAGCCGGGCTGACTGTCCCGGGGGGTGCTAGCATAGCATGCAGCACAGCCACAGCTGTTGCGTGGGATGCTTCCTGGTCGAAGAACCTTGATCCTTCTGGTAGAGCCGCACTGGGAGTTCATAATTCTGCTTATGAGGAGAAGCTACCTCCAGTTGCAAATGGGACTTTGGCATCAAAGATTATTGGCAATGTCCCACAGATGATGGGAGTCACTTCTCCAGAACTGACGATACGGGGCTAGTATCCGAATCCGATTATGGAGGATGTACAAGTTTTAATGGTAGAAGTTGCAGTATGTGTTTTTAGATGCCCTGCTGTGTGAACTTACTTATTAGGAGGGGATCATGTAAAAGTGGAATGAATAATAATACAGTAGAATTGTTCAAGTAGCAGGTTTTTGTGGTGTTTGATCCACATATAATGTAACCAACTTCCCCACTGGGGAGCGACCGTGATCAATTTCAAATGTTTCTAGCTACACTGATTTTCACACTATATTTGGTCCACTGGAGAATGAATGGGTGGGTTAATGTTGTTATCCATAACAGATTCAAATATAGGCTGTAAAAATAAAATTCATTCGATCAGAATTATTCAATAGGATTTGAATTGGATCAGCAGCAGCCCAAATCCAATCTGTTGGAAAGGAAAGTAACACGCGATCTTTTTACAAGTATCACCCAGAACAGTGCCTCATAATACCTGGTAGAAAAAATTATTATAATTGGCATTGTCTAGCAGGAACTTTTTTAAATGAAATGAGAATGTATAGGGAGGGAGGGAGGGGAAGAAGAAAGGACATCATTGGAAAATGGCTCACTTGCCATTATTAACAGCTGAAAAAGAGACATTGTAGCCTCGGATACAAAGACATACATAATTGCCATTAACTTGCGTAAAGAAACAAAAACACCATAAATATGGCCCAATTCGACAAGTACACCGCGCTAATTTTTTGCCCAAAAGGCTTGAGGACAACCTGCATCTAAAGCTATTCCTCAAACTGTACATGAATTAAACATGAGCCTCGGACCAAATTCTTGCAGCTCCCTCCACCTACATCCTTTACAAAGGCGGAATCTACACCTCATTCAGTAAAATTTAAGCTCCTAGGTCCCAGAAAAACACTGGCTCAAAAGAATATTTTCATCTGAGTGTCAACTTGATTACATTTAAGTCATTTAACTTAAGAAAACATTTGAGACGGAATGGCATCAACTCTCACAAGCAGATATCCTTCGCCGCTTATAGCATTTAAAAGTTACATTACCAATGTTTTCACCTTCATTCTGATCACGAGCTTCAACTGAGCAGTCTACACTAGTTCCACGTTGGCACGGCATGCATTCAACATGAATTGGTTGGTTCACCTGTGTACATGAAAGGGGTCATACAGTCTCATTGAAAAAATATAATCATAAATAACAGAAAAGGATGAAATGCAGATAAAAATTTGTCCAAGTAGAGTGAGGATACCACTCTAACCAGAGAAGCTGTGTCATTGCTTCTGCCGATGCCACTGCCACCAGCAATACTGGCAAAAAACCACCATTGTCAGTGGATGATCCAGCAGCTTTGATTAAAATATAGAAACCATGTTACCTGCTTAATCATAAGGTATTCATTTATAATTGTTTGCATGGCAATAGAGCGTGTACCGATAGTTTACCTAGTCATTATCCCCACAATAGTTTAATTGCATGTGCATTTTTTACTACCAAAGAGAGTATTTTCCCACGGCCCAGGGGGTGGGGGTAACAAGAAAGTATAATTGGATATATATTAACCTTTCTGTCACATTCATATGCAATACCACAATGCACATTTCAAATTAACCAACAAATTCCAACCTCTTCCATTTGTCTAGCCCTGACCTGGTTTACTCCCCGTCACTAGGGCAATCCTCATAAGTTTTTTCCACCCGCTTATTGATATACTTAACCCAACGGATAGTCCAGTTTGACCCAAGGTCACATGAGCAGCACCAGTTGTGCCAGCACATCACAATCAAGGTAATGCCCACTAGCAAGTATCGCACAACATGGTGGAAGAGGTTTGTCAATCACCACTTGTCATGACGTTTGTTGTGGAGAACTCCTTTTTTGCACCATCCGTGCCCGGTCGTGAATAAAAGGCCAGTTTTTGCCCCAACTCTATGATCTGTGTTTTCGGTGTGAGATACTAAGGGGCAATGTTCTTTGACGGATATGTGGAGTCACAAGAAGATGAGACATCGTTCATCTGACTAGGGTATATGGGAAACAGACTAATCAAATCATCTAAAACCTAGTTCCCTCCAAAGTTTCTGCCAGGCTAGCTGGATCCTGGATACAAGTTCTATTAGTAAAGCGAGTAGAAGCATCGGGGTGCAATGCCGTCAAACTATTCTCAACCCCCCGGTATCCTGACATGTTCAGGATTAGCTTTGCAACTATCAACAATATTCTTTCATAGGTTCAACAACGGACATCTTGTTACGGGTTCTTCAATTAAATGATCAGGTTTAATAAACTTATCGTGACGTCGTTGGCTGTGAACTGTCCACATCGATCTGAAAAGTTCACCAAACCACAAAAATCAATAGGGACAATGGGTGGTATGTACAAAGGGCAGAGATGCAACATCAATTTTATCTCCCTAGGGACCATATGTGACTACCGTTTTGTGGGAGTAGTTTTAGTTATTGTAACCAATGAAATATTTGAGTTGCTGCCATCTTCTTTCTTTTACAAATCCCCTAGATAGACGAAAAGAGAGAGGATACATACTCCACACATCCTTGGTAAACAATTCCAGTCTCCTGAATCTCGTCAGCTTGAAATAATTCAGAAATAGCACTGTTCCCATACAAATCAATATTACCACTTCCATTGATAGCATCATCAAGTTTTTGCTTGGTTCCTGAATAAGGATACGCAAAGTCAGAACGTACAATGAATAGCAGTCATTCCTTGATGCAGCAAGAGGGAAATGAATCACCTTCTGAAGGACTTAATTCCGTGGAAGGGATTTCCGATAAGAGTTTCTGACACATGATAGTACCCTGGAAACCCAGGAGAGTGTAATCTAGAAAGTTTAATCTATCGGAGTCTGTCATCATCGAAAACCCAAATGAAGTGGTCCAAGTGTTTACCACACTTGGCACAGCAGGCAAAACTAGCCTATCCACACCCAATTCCTTGAGTTTCTGTACAAGAAGTGGATTACAACAGTGAGCATTTCATAAAATATGTATATTCTTGACTTGTGCTCATACAAAGAATAGATGGATTACCATCCTCCTCATTTATGTCGATCACCTAGGGGTTAAATACAACTTTCCACATCCTTATGAAATTTGGTTCACTTACTTAACAACCGACTATAATGCCTCCCCTGATAATTTATCACCATATCTATCAAAAAATAAATAAATTTATAACTGTAAGTTAGATGTGGCTAAATTACAAGTATACATGAACAAGAATGATAAGAAAACCTAACAAGTCTATACTAATGTCCACTTTCCTGTGGGCTGATGATGCAAACCTTTTTAAACCTAAATAGACAGTGCATTTCTTAAACCAACATGAAAACTAAACTCTCCATGATTGTAAGTAATGGTGAACATCGAATGATTGGGTGTTTAGGTTTTTGTAATACCCCGCATTTTCTTTTATATATGTATATGGATATATAGTAAATAATTGTGATAAAAAAAAATGTAGATATATGTAGTGATGTGTGTTTGAATTTGGTAGATTGAAAAAGTAGAGAATTAAAATGTTAGTGAAAATAATAGTTGAAATTTGGTTTTAATAAGTGAAAATATGAAATTTTAGGTCTTAGAACTTGTATTAAATAGGTTTGGTGTAGAAATATGTGTTGGAGAGGTTTGGATAGATTTGGTTGGCTTAGGAATGGATTGGAAATGGAAAAGGGACGAAGACAGGCTATGAACAGTGCACTGCTGCAACTTCAAGCTCGATTTAGACCTTGATGCAGTCAATATCTCTCAAAACTCAAAACATGAAAGTTTTAGAACTCTTTCGTATCATTCCATAGCATCTTGAATCATCTCAATCGGAGCTTGGATGAGAGAGTTATGCTCAGATAACGAAATGATGTCGAAATAGTCCAATTAGCTTCGTTTTGCATTTAATGTCTCCATTTGCATCCTAAATCAAAATATAAAAATAATGAGTACTTTTAGACTTCAAATAAATATAAAAGGCTTTAAGAAACACCCTTTATCACCTTTTATTTGCAAACATCGCAAAACTTCATTAATAACCGATTCGGATGGGTAAAATAGAAACTTTAGTATTTCGGGTGTACGTTGACTTGGGTGTTGAGATAAACATAAAAATAAATGTTTTTAGGTTAAAATAACATTAAAAATGAATCCGGAACGTCGAAAAACCTTAGGGTAGTCATATGGATCAAATTGGAGATTCTTAGTGACAAAACCGTAAATTTGGAGAAACCAAAACAACCTGTGAACAGTATTTTTGGGGCTGCTATGTTTTAAACTCATTTTCATCTCATTTGCTCTCATTTCCTTCACTCCCCTCACACCCCTACACCTCTTGAAACCCTAGAGGGCATTAGAGAAAGAGGAAAGGAAGGGAAAAACAAGAGATTCAAGGGTGATTTAAGATTAAATATTCTTGTTTTTCACTCCAAAGCTAAGGATTCAATGTAGGGGTTTTTTCTCATTCACTTACATTGAGACTAGGGTATTTATATATGTATGTTTTGGCTATCAATGGTATATATATACTATGAAATCATCTTCTCTTAGGCTTTTTGCAAGGATTACATGTTTTGAACAAAGTAGGGTATAATACCCATGAAATCTCCTTTCTAGTTTTAAAACCCTAATTTTTGGAGAGTGATGTATTTTCTTCCTAAATGCTTTCTTTATTATGGATTTCGAAACCTTAGTACTTTGTGTAGGGTAGAAAAATGATGTTATTGTGATCTCATGTATTTTCTTAGTTAGTTGTGAAATTGTTATATGATATATTTTGGAAATTTTTGATAGATGCTTGTAAATTGAGATAAATGTTGGAATTGTATGCTTGGTTGGGTTGTTTATGATGCACATGAGTGAGAGGTTCCTTGTAAGGATGCTCACCCCTTCCCAAGAGATGCCCGGTAAGGATGCTTGGAAAATAATGTAGTGATGGTGAGAGGTTCCATGTAAGGATGCTCATCCATTTTCAAGAGGTTCCCGATAAGGATGCTTGAGAATCAAAGGTGACCAAAAAGGGGGGTCGAGGTTACCACAAAATATGCCACCTACCGAAAGAATTATTGGGAATTGGTTATGACAATTAATGGTTATTAATTGTATGTGGTGCTCATTTATTCATTTAAGTAATGTTTTTAAATAAACTTGAGATCCTTTTTAAATGTCACTGCTTTATTTCAAATTATGTATCTATGTTATGTTAAAATTGAGACTGACCGTTTTAAATGCTTTTCTAAACCTTGTATGAGTTTGGAAGAATTTTTCTACAGAGCTTCATGCTCATCCCCTATTGCTAACATTTTTCAGATTACCCGCTTGAGGAGAAGGACGTAAGGGTCGAGGAGCCCGCTACTTGGGAGACTCCACAGGACAGGAGTGTGGATCCCGAGGTGGACGCATAGAGCGACCTCCTTTCCTTTTGTACTAGACTAGGACATTCTTTTGGAACATTGTGTAGTCTAGCTTCTTTTGTTTATTCCGCTGCGCTTCTTTAATTAATTTTTGAGATGTAATAGCCATGACTTGGGTTTATTCTTTTGGATAATGTTGTAAATATTCGTGGATGACAAATGAAGTCTTGTTTCTTAAGGGATTATATTAGTGCTCTCATAATATAAATGGTTTTAGAATGTAATGTCATCCAGGGTGTGTTTTGGGGTGTTACAGTTTTTCAGGTGACGCATAGGGATAAGGCTTCTCAAATATCTATATTATTTGCACACTGAAGCATGTGAACAAAAATGACTAAACTTTCAGCTGCTCTCAGTAGCAGTTATCATCTATTACCCCTGCTGTTAAAAAACAAAGGCAAACCCACTGAAATCAAATACAAAAAATGTTGAGAATGCTTGCACATGCAAATACACATAGAGCACTCTACCTTTTCAAGCTCATTCATCAAAATGCGGCACATTCCAAGTCGGCGATACTTAAATCGTGTACCGACAAGCGGTACTTCTGCCACCTTTTCTCCATACACCCTTAAACAGAGAGATAAGGAATTAAACAAACCAAAGCATTTTTATTACTATAATCTGACAAAAGAAGAGAAATAAACTTATCTCAGTTTGATCTGAAGTTCTATAATACCTCACATTAGCAACCGTGATCAGTTCGTCATTTCTCTCCAAAATCACTGTATAGAACCCTCGGAAGTTCAAACGATTCAGCTCCGACCTGCAAATTTCAAATAATTACCCTTACACTTGGAGCAATAAGAAGTGATGCCTGGTAAGTAAACAACATGGTAAATGTCTGAATCCTTTATGAACACAGATCTAATGAAAAGAACAACGCAATCAAGAACATCACAGGGTTACAAAGAGTAGACTTAAACTAGTAGTGTGAACACTAAGTGATTACACTCAATGCCTATTTAAAAATAGTTGCACGAAGTATCTCTGATCAAAACAAACATCAGCTGCACAAGTGCATCCAGTAACTTAGAAGAGAGGAAGGTGCTCTGCAATAGACCACGTCTTATCTCTGCACACCATGTAATGACGTCTAAGTTGTTTAGGGTCCACCCCTTGATGCTTGGATAGCAACGAATTTAATGCAAAGCAATAGGAGACATAGTAATAGAACTTGAAGTGAAGAAGTAAACATGGAAAGGTAGGTAGCTAGAGAGAGAGCTCCGACTTTTGAGTGAGAAGACCAAAGGTGTAAGATGTCTTTTATTGTAATTATCCCATATAACATTACACTAGAAGAAAGGAAGGAGTCTAATAGAACAAAAGGAGGCTCCGACCACAAGGGTAAACTGAGCTCGAAAGGGCTAGCCATTAAGTACTCGTGTTTGACACACAAGAGAGTTGAGGACATAAATTCAACATGTTTAATTGGACATGCACCAGCAAGTATGCCTGGTCATCATTGTGTTCCATATCATTGTTCATAGAATTTTTTTGTCATGTTCCTGTGTTGCTTTGAAATGAGTAGTGTGCCCGTGTGGAATGCACTATGTTACATACACCACTTTTGATACGAATACAAAAGAATATGAATATTTAATCATGACCTACTGTCCTTTAATTGGAAATCTGACAAAACGAACGGTTAGAAATACATGAACATCCAAACGTATCTCCACGTGACCACATCCTGGTAAAACATAGTTCCAGATGAAAAGAATATAAAACCGAAACACAAAGAAACTACAATAGAGGAAATGGATAATATGCATACCGGTCCCTAACAAGACACAGAGTGGATTCTAATCTTACTTCGAGTCATTAAAAATTTCAAAAAAAAAAAAAGGAATAAAACAATCAGCATCAGAAAAGAAAAAAAAACTGGAGTAATCAATCAAGCTCACGTCAAGTAAAAAGCATCACTTTTAGATTATGTAATGTGTGTTTTAGCTACAAGGAAAGAACAAAATCATGACGAACATCACTGCACAAACCCTTGGACAAAAACTGCAATCCTGCACCAGTAAAATGGGGATGATAGCATTGCCGGAATATCATCAGAACCACAAATAGTGGTACACTTGCTAGATTTGATCATATGAATACTATTTAACTAAACTATAAAAAGATTTCTATATTATGTACAGACTGGACAAATAAACAATGCAGTGGTCGTAGACAAACAATATCTTCAAGAAAACTGGATCTTACCTTCTACTAAAGATCACGTCTTCAACAAGATCCCTCCTTGTGCGAGGTTCCTTGACAGGCTCAAAACACTCATGCATAACACCAAGAGCAACGTTTAGTTTGCTGTAGTTCTCCATCAAGACATCAGTATCGGAGGCATCATAACCACATCCATCAATTGTCATGTATTTCATTAAAGTCCAAGTTAGATTATCAACTCCCACTGCAACTGGTTTCCCCAGAAGCCTGCGCAGGCCCAAAAATATCTGCAAAAATAGGACAAGCATGTAAAAAACAACATACAATCTTGTCTTCCACGGCCTACATCTTAAAGATTAAAGCCAACAAAATTTACATGATCTTAGAAAAATAAGCATTAAAGTCATGTTTCGCATGCATTTTCACGTCATTTGCAAGCATATTTTCAGGTATACAAGTTACCATTCTTGATTATATCTTTTGAAGATTCATAGTAGAGAGGAATCGTCAAACCCAACCTAGCTTTTGTGCCAATTATTTCGGGTCATTCTACATGAATCATTTTTCATCATTTTGGTCCGTCAAGAGCTACATGTTCAGTTAAATTAGACAGAAATCATCAATCTCCTAGAATAATACAGAAGTATTATTTATGAAATACTCAAAGGAGGTACATATATTTGACTATTATCACATTCGAGAAAGCTAACAGTGATGTAGATCAGGAAAGTCTAGAATTCACAAAATAGAAAGAAAAGAAGAAAGAAGAGGGAGTGGAAGGGATTTACCTCATCCTCGTAAGGAATCGGTGAAGAAACACACAAATCTCCGCAGAGAATACTCAATTCTTGTTCATAATCTCTCCAATCAAAATAATTGGGATTACACCTTTATTTATAGGTCAAATTCCCTACTAAAATAAAAATTACTTCCCTACTAAAATACTAAAAGAGTTTCATGATCAAACTCTCAAATCCTTATCGTACTAAAACTCTATGATAATTTCCTAGTCAAATTCTAATTAATATTTCTAGTAAAACAAATATTCCTTAACTAATAAAATAATACTAAAACAAATAATAAAAATTCAATTATTCAATTTAAACTCATCCAATCCCTTTTCGATTTCTATCAATTCTCCTCGACTGAAAAAACTCTTCTCCGAAGAGTTGTTGTAGCAAGAATACTCCAAGAGAATTGACATTAGATGGTAAAACACATCTTCAAACCCGATAGCATAGAAGTAAGATTTTAAGATATCACAATGGGAGGAATTTATATCTTGAATCTTTATAACTTTCACACTTTGTTCCAGATAAAAGGATAGTGAGGATGTTGAAGAAAAAGTAGCAATCCTATCTAAAAAAATCATGTTTGAAACTTGCTTAACTTCATCTGTAGGAACACCCTTTGCAATCGGCTTATCAAAAGCAATTGTTGTAGGATGAGTATAAATAGAACTTTTGGTCTCATCAGCAGTGAATAACTTCAGTTTATCGGAATTCAATCGAATTGGAACTTGTGGTATAACTGGAGGGCTGTGTTCAACCACTTTTTGATTGACGGTTGCAGAGACAAAGTTAAAATCTTCACTTGTTTTAGTTTCACAAACTATAGCGAGCACAAGTTCTCTCAGTGAATCGATAGATGTTTGAATTGTATCTAGTCTAGCATTCATGACCTTTTGTGAATCAACTTATGCTTGAGATAAAGCCTCTACTTTAGCATTTAATTTGGCGTTAGAAACCATCATAATCAAGAGAAAATTCTAAAATTTTTTGGGAATGATTCTGTAATTTTTTTGGATATATTGGGGATGTTTCTGCAATTCTAAAACTTTTAGAGGGAAGATTCTGTAATTTCTAAAACTTCTAGTGGTGGTTCTGTAACTTCTAAAATTTTCTGGGGTGTTTCTGTAATTTCTGAAACAGCAAGGATGTTGCTGTAATTTTCTGAATTTGTTAGGAGAGTTTTTTTTTTTTTAACTCAACAAAGCTAATAAACAGTACCAGTGAACAGTGTCGTGATGAACAATTTTTTTTTATTTTTACCAATCGAAGTTGGGCTCTGATACCAAATTGATGTAGATCGGAAAGGTCTAGAATTCACAAAATAGAAAGAAAAGAAGAAAGAAGAGGGGGTGGAAAGGGGGTGGAAAGGGTTTACCGCATTCTAACAAGAAATCAGTGAAGAAACACACAAATTCTCCGCAGAGAATACTCAATTCTTGTTCATAATCTCTCCAATCAAAATAATTGGGATTACACCTTTATTTATAGGCCAAGTTCCCTACTAAAATAAAAACTACTTTCCTACTAAAATACTAAAAGAGTTTCATAATCAAACTCTCAAATCTTTATCGTACTAAAATACTATAATAATTTCCTAGTCAAATTCTAATTAATACTCCTAGTCAAACAAATATTCCTTAACTAATAAACTAATACTAAAACAAATAATAAAAATTCAATTCTTCAATTTAAACTCATTCAATCCCTTTTCGATATCTATTGATATAGAACGGGAAGGATTAAAAATCACAGAATAAAAGAGAAGAAGAAAGAAAAAGGGGTGAAAGGAGTTTACCTCATCCTCGCAAAGAATCGATGAAGAAACACACAAATCTCTGCGGAGAATACTCAATTCTTATTCATAATCTCTCTAATGAAAATAATTGGGATTACATCTTTATTTATAGGCCAAGTTCCCTACTAAAATAAAAACTATTCTCCTACTAAAATACTAAAAGAGTTTCATAATCAAACTCTCAAATTCTTATCGTACTAAAACTCTATAATAATTTCCTAGTCAAATTCTAATTAATACTCCTAGTCAAACAAATATTCCTTAACTAATAAAATAATACTAAAATAAATAATAAAAATTCAATTCTTCAATTTAAACTCATTCAATCCCTTTTTGATTTCTATCAAACAGTTATGCCAATCATCTCAATCATAAAGATTCAAAGTCCAATCAAAATCTTCCTCCAAAGACATCATAAACTGCTTTGAAATTATGCAGCTGGTAGATACAAATGCGAGCAAGTAAGTACAAAGAGCCAAAATTCTTCAATGGCCTTAAATAACTCAGCTGCAAATGTTTGCACCTCAAGACAATTCTTTCAAATAAGAAAGGCTAAACTAACACACAAGAATGTGAATAAAACCACCTACCAGATAGAGGAAGTAAGAGATAATTGCTAGGTTCTTCTGTAATCCCAGACCAATCTAGAAGTATGTTTAAAGACCTCATAGGAGATACAAGCGGATGACATTATTTATTGGCATGTTGCAAACGTGATAGACTGTATCCCAAATAGGTGGAAATCCAAGTATTTATATTTCACCAATTGTCTCTGCAGCTCTATATCAGACAGGTAGACTGTAAATATTACATTAGCCAACTAGGAAAATAATGCATTGAAGGTTGAGTTTTATTGGTATTGCAATCAACGCCACGTGAACTGCCTAACTTATATTCTTATTTACCAGTAAAAAGTCTGTAAATTGTGAGATAGAGTGCATCAAAGAACTATCATCTTAATAAATGCAAAAGAATCACATGAGAGAGAGAGAGAGATACCAAAACAGAAAATGAAACTGACAAGCTCCTTTTTGTGTTTAAGCAATAATTAAGTCCATGTACAAGAGTCAAAAAATGTTGTTAGTATAATTGATAAGCTCCAATGGATAAAGAATAAAAGTCATGCTTCTGAAGTATGCAATTCGAGCTTTAGTATATGTCAATAAATCTCAAATCCAGTACTTCTGATATTTAACCTCATAATCCTACATAAAGAGGGAAAGAAACATTTGAAATACCTGTTCACATCTTACATTACACAACCAATTTCCTTTAGGATAACCATCCAGCTTTACAAGACCTTGTCTCCTTAAGCAATCAATGTGATCTGCATTAAATTGATCATTCGTTAGGAACACAATAGAGGTGATGGACATGTGTACGCACATGTTCGATTACATATCTGCATGCATAAAAGAAGATATATGTAAACAGATTCAGAAAACATACATTGACGCTCACACTGATCACATTTTAGAACCCGGTTATCTGTAATTAGGTCACTGTCTTTATTAATCCTTCTTAAGCCACAAATTCCACAACAGCATGATGGGCAGAACCAGTCACCACCTGGAACATCCTAAAAAGAAACAAAATGCAACCAAAAATTAGAATCACAAACTATTTTTAATGATTTTATTTTCCAAAGGAAAATCAAGCAAACAAAGAAAATAAAGAAGAAACAAAGTATATCGTGGGAATAAAAAAGAAATCACCTTCAAACCAAGGCAACTTTTATGAAATGAGGATGGACACTGATCACATAAAACTAATTCACCACCATAGTGACAGACAGAGCATACATAGTCAGCCATGCTATGATGCTGATAATTATTCATCTCCCGTCGTTTTCTACTTACACTGCTCACGCTATTATTCTGTTTCAATTGCAATTGGCATTCCAGCAGAGATCTGCCATCCTCCAAAAAAATATTGGCTGAAGGTCGGTGATTAGTGCTGCCAGAATGAGCTTCGAAGTTACTGAGAGTAAATACTTTTTGACAACAGATGCATTTGATCCCGTCACGAGTAATTCGCCCTTCTGCCATTCGATGACCACTCTTTCTACAAGGTAATATACTTTTGCCCGTGGCAAAACTACATTATTGTCTATTAACCAAGCAAGACAGTTCGAGGAGTGCGCTGGCAGGAAGAAGGAACCACCACCTCTCGCGCTCTTTTGCTTGATTGAAGTGTCCGCATAGAATAATCACCATCCATATCATTTCTTTGCTTGATCAAAGCTTTAGATCCCTTTCTTTCCTTGGCAATGGTGAACCAAAGCATTGGTTATTTGTTTGATTTAAGCGCGATGCAATATACACAGAGTTTTTTCTTTTCTTCGGCAATTTTCAGTTCCTTGGACATTGACTTTACCCAGTTCAACATGTTCCCTTGACAGTGATACACCAGAAGACTCTGTTGGCCGCTTTTCAGGTAAAGCATCCCATGATACCAAACATCCCCGAGTCTTCATTAGTGGAGGGGACGATCTCTCAATACCCAACTGGCCCTTAGCTTCCTTGCTGAGATTGATGTTTGGCCTTAGTCCAGAGGCATAAGCATTAATCTAGAGAGTCCCTCTTCCTCTGTACAAAATTTGCAGGCTGCTGAAAGAGAATAAAACAATCTTCCACTTGGAGAACTGTATCGTAATTCCCTCTTGCCACCCTTCCACTTGTAATAAAATGACCAACCAATGGCAGACAGGTGTTTCTTTACTTTTAATCGCATATCCCGAAGCTTAGCATCTCTCTTCTCCCCGCGATGGAGATTTTTGTCCTCTAATCCTAGCAAATAATAGTCCACCACAGCTTGAGGGCAGTATTCAGGTTCAAAAAACAAATCAGAATTAGAAGGCACCTCGGGTGCCTCCTTGCACACTTCTGTGTTGTTTACTAAGCTGTGA